TCTGAAAGACACAGTCACTCCAGAATATTCTCCAGGCAGAAGTCATTTCTTTGGCTCTTGTAAGTGAAAAAGGTTCAAGATGCCTCCTTGAGGAATCCTGAAAATAAACCCATGAGATTCTCAGCAAGCAAAGTCCTTGGCATGGAGGGATACCCAGAGGACTCACTAGGACTTCAGATACTCATAAGGGATCTGAGGCTGTCCCTTTCAGCAATAAACTTCAGCTGTTTACAGCTCTTTTTAAATTTGAATTCAAACTACCTTTCTGGGAAACAGGAAAAATAGGCATAAAAGACCTATCTTGAGTTTGTTTTCTGGTCCAAGAATATAAAAAAAGTAGTTTGTCAAACCTGGAAAACGCTGAAGAATGTAAAATCCCATGCCAATCAAAAAGCACAAATATAAAACTCTCCCCCAACTCCTACCCAAGAGTAAGTGAAGGAATTTGCCTCACAACTTTCAAAATTCAAAGTGAGAAAATGCTGACAAGAACCTAACAATAAAGTGAGAAAATGCTTACAAGAATGAATAGGAAAGAGATAGCTACAAAAGTCCCACCAGTCACAGGCTCAAGTGATCCTTGTTTACCCATGGCTGCAACTAAACACCCACAGCTCTGGTTAACATTCAGACAAACAGATATGCAGATATGTAGAGGCCTGACATACGGACATTTTATTGGCTCTCTCTTTATTTGGAACAATTTCTCCAGATCACAGTTCCTTGCATGTGCACCAAGTTTCCCTGGCTTCTCTGAAATAAGCTCAGCACCTACTAGGTGAATCATACATGGACAGGACACAGCATTATGTAATTTCTCCTGTCAGACAACTTTCCTCCTTGTCTACCTTGCAAATTCCTTCTCAGCTTTTAAGAGTTGCTGAAGTTTCCCCTCTTCTGTAACATTACCATCTCCTGCCACAAGCATTGCAGTTTTTCTGTTTAAGGCATATTACCACATTTTGGGCATGAAGGTACATTGGTACAAAGGAGAGCATTTTAGAAATGATAATGCACATATCCTCAGACATAACCATCTTACTGCCAGTACTTTCTCTAGTTAACTGAGGTAAGCTACACGGATGTTCTAACACTATTTATTCTAACAAAAGAGTGGAAACAATTCAGATGCACATTAATTTGAGTCTGGTTAAAGACAATGGAATATAATGCAATTGTTCAGAAGGACCAAGGTTCTCTCTATGCTGGTATCTGTAATTCCCACCCACCCCCACTCCTTTAATTTGTCTAATAGAGAATCCTTTCTCCCTACCTCATTGAGGGATGATTGATAAATTCATAGAGAATCTTGACAGAGCACAGCAACCCATTGAAATTGCTTTTCTCTTTCCTCTTCCTGGGTATGAGGTACGAGGGGAAGGGATGATGATATAATACCCAAACATTCCACCCTGGCATCAGAGTTATTCTGAGCTAAAGGAAATTAAGAAAAAACAGACATAGGAAGAACTCCTCTACCCTCTCCATATGTACCGAAAGGTAGGACATAAATTCCCCTTGTTAAGATGATTCTTGCTCCCATACATGAAAGAGGGGAACAACCTTTGTCGCCAAAGATGGCATCTAGATGAGTCTGCATAAACACACTGAATAAAATAACCCTTATATTCCACTTGCTTCTCCATATACTTACCCACATAATTTATGATCCCTAAAACTCTTCTTTTGTTGTCCAGTAACTTTTCCCTTCATTAAAATGGTATTAAACTTCCAACTCTAATCACTTCTTCAAGTTTTCACTTCTTTCTTTGTATAGGCCTTCTGCATAAAAATATTAAAAACATCACTTATATCTGTATTTTGCACAGCAGACCTCTCCTATCTTGCCTGCTGCTATCCACCTTTTCTGTTCTCAAAAATAAATACATAAATAAATCTGTAGCCTTTTTTCTCCTGTTAATCTGTCAGTTTCACTTACAGAACTCAGAAACAGAACCTAAGAAGATAGAATAAAAGCTTAGTCCTCCCTACACAGGTATGTCAGAAAAGCTCACCGCATTAGCAATTCTGAAGTCAAGCTATGCAAATGTTGAAAACACAAGAGAGAGCTCTATTATTTCCAGAAGCAGTGCTGATGAACACTGCCTCTAGCCTTTGCTATTTTATAGGGAAGCTACAAAGATGTGCCAGCTATTCTCCCCATCTTCTTCCAAAGACTTTATTATGTATCAGGACCTTTTACCTAACTGTCTTCATAAAAAGTTTAGGTCCTGTACAATCACAAAGAAATAAATTATTCTACTCTCAAGGAGTCTAATGGTCCAGCACAGAACAACTGAAAGAAGGGGGTTCCACAAAGCAAATGCCAACACAGGGCTGCATAAGTTAATAAAGGTGACTGTAGAACAAAAACTCACCTAACCCAACAGAATTCTCACAGGTTTCTCTTCCCAATATGTGTAGACTCCAGTTGAGGCGTGTGTTTCAGTCCCAGGCCAAACCAACCACTTCCTATTTTTAAGACTATAAGTAGTTTACTTAACCTCCGTGTGACCCCACCCATAAAATGGGGATACTAGGATCTACCTCAAAGGGAAGTTAGAATTAGTAAAAGAGAGAGAGCATATAAAGTATTTGGCACAATGCCTGATAGTTAGTGCCAACTAAGTGTTAATGATTACTATCATCATGTTATCAATCTGAAATTTTGAAGATGTTCCTCAGACTTTATTCTGCTATGAGGTATCAATGGAGCATGAAATTTATGAAGGAAGATTATTCATGTGTACATCTCAAGTCAACCTCATACTCACACTGTTGAGTAATTCATTTATTTATTGAGAGGGGAGAAATTACACAAAGTTCAGATCATTTTAGATGAAGACCTTTTTCCTAGCACAGGTGTTATAGAAGCAGCACATGTTTGACAGCTTTTGAACTTTTATGATGTTTTTCACTGCAAATACAAAAGAAGCAAAACACTGACATTGCTTCTTTAAAGTCCCATGAATTATTTTCACAAGACACATGAAATATTGATGCCATTTTACTTCCACCACAAAAATCAATAAGCCATTTTTGGTCAAGGTCAGACTCAGGCTTCCATCTACAGCTGAAGGTTATCAAGCAGCTGTGAGAGAAATGATTCTCCTCCTAGTCTCATTCAGTACTCTTTGGCCTATCTTTACATCAAGTTTCAGAATAAAGTCACTTCTAAATAAACCTTTGGGGCCTTCCTGGTGGCACAAGGGGTTAAGCACAGCACTATGAAGTGGTCCACAGTCTCTGCAGCACGAGTTCGCTCCCCGGCCGGCCAGGGAGAAACCCACAGGGCACAGCAGGCCTCTCCTGACTTGCCCGCTGCTCCCCTCAGCAGTGTATTTCAGTCAGTCTGCCTGTTCTGCTCCCCCCTCTGTCTCTGGTGAATCCTCTCACCCCCTGCATCGCTGGCCTGTACCCCAGCTCTTGTATGCATAAATAAATAAATCTTTAAAATAAATAAATAAATAAGCAAGCTTTTGTGAGAAAACATGTCTTCTATACTCTGATAGTCAGGTGAGTTCACCTTAATTGAAGTACAAGGTTTCTGAGGTTGGCTGAAAGGAACTAAAGTTCTGTATGTGTGAAACTGAGAGAGTACACTGGCCCTCAAGAAGGAAAAGAGAGTCCTCTACACAACAGCTGAAGACCACAAAATTGAGACAGATTTACCCGATATCATGGTGGAACATCTAACAGAGGGAGGGTTTCAATGACAGACCTTACTGGCTAAAAGTGACCCTACAAGAAAAAAATCAATAGGCAAGAAAGGTCAAATGTGATAGATTTTTTTTTTCCCCAAACAGAGTGTAGGTGATACTATACAAGTTGTAGGAAACACATGTCAACCAACAAGGCACTTAAAACTGAAAAGGAAGAGATACCATACTGAGGATAATTGCTTATATTTTCTTTTCTGAACAAAATGGATCTGCAGACGGAACAACAACAAAAAAAAAAACCTGAGAGAACAGTGATTATCACTACATTAAGAAAGAATGATTTTTATATTTTTATTTATATATTTTTTTAATCTGGCTGTATTTTCTAAAATAAAAAATAATTACTTTCCTCTTTAATTATGGATTTTTTTAATGGATAAGACTGGTTATCCAGTTGTAGATGAGGGACAATTTGAGATATTATCTGCAGCTACATAAATCTCCCCGTTAGACTCAAGACCCTCAAGGATGAGACCCTCAAGGATTCCTTCAAACCCCAAAACACTACTAACACAGGGCCTAAATACACGTTGGCTCTATTGAGAAATATTAGCAAATTAATTTGTTTGTGGTCAAAAACACAAAGTAGGTGGCCCTGGTATAACCTCAGGAAGGTGCAAAAGGAAATGAAGTGTGAGCCTTTCTCACCAATATTTGGCAGGATTTTGAAAGGACATTCTTTCCAAAATGGTTCCCTTATAGGGTAAACATCAGTGACCCCGCCCCTCCGTCTAGAGCGCCTTCTGTCGCATTGCGTGCCCCTGGGGGTGTGAGTGCAAGAGGAGGGTGCAGGTGTTCTCCGGGGGAAAGCTTTACCAATCCCCCAAGAGGGAAGGGGCCCAGTTTCCCCATGGTTGAAGGGGATCCAGTTTCCCAATTGGGGTAGGGGGGCCCCGGACCCAGTGGGGTCTGACAGTAACCGAAACCCCTCACCTGCGCCCCCAAGCTGAGACCCTGGGAAGCGCACCTTTGCGCAGGCAGAGTCCAGGGGCGGGGGTCAAGCTCCAGCCTGGGGCATAGCCAGAGGCTCATCAGCACTGCTGGGCCAGGTGAGGACTCTTCCCCTCTGAGTGGGGCTGGGTTGCCCGGGGCTTTCCGCGCCGGCCTGTCTGCCTGCAATTTTGGAAGAGGCCGAGGTCGCCGCCCGTCTGTGGCTTCCAGGGGGTGCCCCCCGTGACAGTGACCCCGCCGCTCCGTCATGGGCGTTTTGGGGGGCACGGCCTGGCCCTAGGGGTGTGATTGCGAGAGGAGGGTGCAGGTATCCACCAGGGGAAGGGACCCGTTCCAAAACGGGTTTGAGAACCTGGTCCCTGTAGGGGTCTTAGGACCCCGTAACCCGGTTGGTGTAGAGGGCCCCCAAGCCCCGTGGGGGATGAGGGTCCACGAAGTCCCTGACCAGCGCCCCCTCAAGGCGGCCCTGAGAAGTACACCGTTGCGCAGGCAGAGTCCAGTGAGCAGGGTCGGGCTCCAGCGGGGGGCGGAGCCGGGGCTCATCAGCACTGCTGGGCCAGGTGAAGACTCTTCCCCTCTGAATGGGGCTGGGTTGCCCTTGCCTTTCCCCGCCGGCCTGTCTCTCTGCAATTTTGGAAGAAGACGCGGTCGCCGCTCTTCTGTGGCTTACAGGGGGTGCCCTCCCTGACAGTGACCCCGCCGCTCCGTCTGGGGCGTCTTCGGACGCACGGCCAATCCCTGGGGGTGTGAGTGCGAGAGGAGGGTGCAGGTGTGCCCCGGGGGGAAGATTGACCTTTTCCCAAAGTGGGAAGAGTGCCCCGTTCCCCCACGGGGTAGGTGGGTCCCGTTTCCCCATGGGGGTAAAGAGCCCCCTAAACCCGTGGGGGCTGAGGGTCCCGAACCCTCTCACCAGCGCCCCCTACCGGCGGCCCTGAGAAGAGCACCTTTGCGCACGTGCCGTCCAGTGGGCGGGGTCAGGCTCTGGGCCAGGGGCGGAGCCTCGATCTCATCATTCGCTGCTGGGCCAGGGGAGGACTCTTCCCCTCTGAGTGGTGCTGGGTTGCCGGGGCTTTCCGCGCCGGCCTGTCTGCCTGCAGTTTTGGAAGAGGCCACGGTCACCACTCGTCTGTGGCTTTCAGGGGGTGCACCCCCAGACAGTGACCCCGCCCCTCCGTCTAGGGTGTCTTCGGGCACATGGCGTGCCCCTAGGGGTTTGAGTGTGAGAGGAGGTTGCAGGTGTGCCCCGGGGGAAAGACTCACCATTCCCCCAAGGGGGAAGAGTGCCCCGTTCCCCCATGCGGGAAGGGTGCCCCGTTTCCCCATGGGGTAGAGGTCCCCCAACCCCCATGGGGACTGAGGATCCAGACTCCCTCACCAGCGCCCCCTAGCGACGGCCCTGAGCAGTGCACGTTTGCGCATGCAGAGTCCAGTGGGCGGGGTCAGGCTAGGGCCAGGGTGGAGCCTGGGGCTCATCAGCGCTGTTGGGCCAGGTGAGGACTCTTACCCTTTCAGTGGGGTTGGGTTGCCCTGGGCTTTCTGCGCCGCCCTGTCTGCCTGCAGTTTTGGAGGAGGCCGCGGTCGCCGCTTGTCTATGGCGTACAGGGGGTGCCGTCTTGGACAGTGACCCCGCCCCTTCGTCTAGGGCGCCTTCGGTCGCTCGGCGTGCCCCTGGGGCTGTGAGTGCGAGAGGAGGGTGCAGGTATTCCCCGGGGGAAAGATTTACCGATCCCCCAAGGGGGAAGGGGGCCCAGTTTGCCCATGGTTGAAGCGGATCCCGTTTCCCAATCGGGGTAGGGGGCCCCCTAACCCCGTGGGGGCTGAGGGTCCCCAAAAGCCCTCACCTGCACCCCCAAGCGTAGACCCTGAGAAGCGCCCCTTTGCGTAGGCAGAGTCCGGGGGGCGGGGTCAAGCTCCAGCCGGGGGCGGAGTCTGGGGCTCATCAGCGCTGCTGGGCCAGGTGAGGACTCTTCCCCTCTGTGTGGGGCTTGCTTGCCTGGGCCTTTCCCCGCCGTCCTGTGTCTCTGCAGTTTTGGAGGAAGCCGCGGTCGCCATTCGTCTGTGGCTTACAGGGGGTGCCCTCCCTGACAGGGACCCTGCCCCTCCGTCAAGGACGTCTTCAGGCGCACAGCCTGCCCCTGGGGTTGTCTGTGCGAGAGGAGGGTGCAGGTGTGGCCCGGGGGGAAGATTGACTGTTCCCCTAATGGGGAAGAGTGCCCCGTACCCCCATGGGGTAAGTGGGTTCCGTTTCCCCATGGGGGTAGAGGTTCCCCAAACCCCATGGGGACTGAGGTTCCCGAACTCCCTCACCAGCGCCCCCTAGCGGCGGCCCTGAGCAGTGCACCTCTGCACATGCATAATCCAGTGGGCGGGGTCAG